AACTCCGTCTCTGCCTGCACAAATCTCCCTGCTGTTGCTCAGTTTGCAATTTACAAAGCAATGTAGCCTCTCCGTCAGCCAATCAGAGAGCTCTCCATTATGCAATCAAAGCATGTCCAGGAAATACTGCCAGGAAAATTGCACTTTTTTCAGATAAAGAGGACTTTATATAATTATATTTAATTAGGTTGATTAACCCTCCTCTTTTCCTGGGACATTTCCACTGTTCACTTCCTTTTACACATCAAGGGATCATTTATGTCTAACCAAACAGAGAAGAAACACTTTATATGTTGAAATTAAAAGTCATTTTTAACTGAAAAGAGTGCAATTTAACAGTTTTAGGAATAGGCAATGTGTCTTTTCTGGAAGTCAAATATGGTCACCCTAATCATGACACATGAATTACAACAAAGTATCTTGCAGGCAGTGGATGGTGACTGGTAGCTAACCAGCAGCAGAAAGCAGTTCAATAAGCTGTTAAATGGGTGTTTTTCTGTAAAGCAGTGTTTCCTGGACATGCTTTGGTTGGATAAAACAGAGCTGTCTGTGATTGACTGTTGGAGAGGCTACTTGTTGAGGAGAGCAGGGAGAGATTTGCATGTGCAGAATTGATCCCATAGAGAGGGCTGCAGCTGCTGCACACAAGCGCAGAACAGGTTCTGTTTGTGCAGACTCATTACTGTACTCTCAAGTTGGTGGCACTAAGTCACTCAATGAACTGGCTGGGTGGTTAATCATGTCACTTCAGGGGAGTTTTCCGACCATTTAACTTGACATCAAAGCTTTTCATTATGGTTTGCGGCATGTAAACATGCTAGCAGAGTTAGCATTAGCATGTCGGTGCGGTAGCATTTTCCTCTCTCGTCTGAACTATAACCTTGAAATATTAACGGTGTGCTGCTGTTGCTGTCTTACCCTAATGTGATGTTGAGTGACTTACATGAGCGCTGAGCAGGGTTTGCTCATCGATATATAGGTTTTTCTGTATCGACCCGCCCCCTGACTTGTCAACAAAGCTGCGGGCTTAAGGAAGTGGAGGAAGTCCTTTCTTGATACTTCCTGTGTGCGACGGTGTAGTTCTATATTCATTAATTATTATTTCTGTTTCAGACTAAAAAACTCATGTACCAATTACACGTGTCATGATTGTGTTCAGCATGTAGATGTGAACAAATAAAAAAAGTTAACTGAAAAAAATAAAATAAACCAAAATGATAGGGGGGCTTGTGATTATTTTAGGGGGGCTGAAGCCCCCCTAAAACGGACCTAACGACGTCAGCGCGCCAAAGTAAGGGTTTTGAAAACGATCCTTCCTCTTTGAGGAAGATGAGCGGGGCAATGAGCTGACTCTAAAAACAAGTGTTAACAGCAGCACTTTTTTGTCTTTTCAGCTTTGTTTTGGTTAGCGGTCTGCTTAGTGACGTATGCGTTCAGGAGGTGCTCTCATCACGTAGCGTGTCCTGCTGAAGCAACACGCCATGCAGTCTGACTCAGAAACCTTGTGCCGTACAGAGTGACACCTTTCTGGAGTTCTCACAGTGTGTCATGAACAATCTGCACGACGGCCAAAAGTGCCACAATGTGATCCTGGCATTATGGACATATTGTGTAGACTTTTATTTTTGACAGATCTCCAGCAGTGGAAATTACATGTGTTGATGCCCATTCTGATTGGTTGGTGAAATGCTACAATAACACCCACTAAGGCATTTTTGTAGCTCAAACAGTAACGCCCCACAACTTGCCCGACCCTGCTCCACCACTTGGCTCTTACAGAGCCTTAATGGAGGTGCAGACAGACGATCCCCCTCCACCCCATCCCCTTACGCCATTCTCACTGGGCTCTTCTGGAGGCCTGTGTGTAATTTAGCCCTGTTAGCAACAGTCGGACATGGGGGTGGTGGTGTGATGGTCTGGGGCTGCTTTGCTGCATTATGACAGCACATGGGACAGCAGTGGTTCAGGAGGTAGAGCGGGTTGTAATCAGAAGGTTGCAGGTTTGATCCTGGCTCCTACCAGGGAATGCTGCTGTTGTGTCCTTGGGCAAGACACTTGGTGGACAGAGGGACCGGTGGTGCCAGTATTTGGCAGGCCCAGTGTCAGTGCGCCGCAGGGGAGCTGTGGCTACATCATTGACTTTGGACTCGACTTGGTTGTCTTTGACTTGTACTCGACTCGAGTCTTGACTGGAAAGACTTGTGATTTACTTGTGACTTGCAAAGAAGTGACTTGGTCACTCCTCTGGCTTTTACTCAGACGCCCTCTGCCTCGCTGTACTCACTCATGCCGCTGCGGTCGCAGTGTACCATCAGATCGCTACACCTGCTGACTCCTCCCAGAACGTCCTCCTCACTGCCATCCAAGGCCTCCATGCATGCAATTTTAGACGCCTCTGCTGAACTGACCACCGTCATCTTAAAACTCTCATAACTCGGCCTTAGCTTGTTAACTCGCCCCGCTGTCGGTCCACTCTGCTGTTGAGAACACACAGCCTGGCGACCTCTGCTGTCTTGGGCGTGTAAATGCTCAAACCCCGATTATAAGACAACCCCACATTTTAAATTATTTTGTATGATAAAAACCTTGTCTAATGTGCCATTCCCATCTGTACCGGGTCGGCCCGGGCTGGGTAGCCCCAGTTGGCCCCAGCCTGGCCCGGTTGATTCCACAAATCCTTGCCTTAAGCCCATGTGGGCTGATTCTACCCACCAATCAGAGGCTTGCTCTAATGGAAGGTGTGAATTTGCTGTCAGCAGTGGGTGTGTTGGCCCTGGTCAGCCTGAAACAGACCCCCTCGAGAAGAGGGCTGAGAATGAGCCTTGGTTGGCCCGGAAAAATACCAGGCCACCCAGATATGTAAACAACCTACGCTACCCGGCCCAGGCCGACCCGGTTCAGATGGGAATGGCCCATTATATTCGGGTCAATACGGTGTATTTAAGGGTCAGTGACTTTTCCACACAGAGCCCGGTTGGTTTGGGGCGCTTCGCCCTGGGCGAATTATTCATGCATCTGGAACATTTAGGTGTGACAAATAAGCAGACAGAAGAGATGGTTCATCTGATCTTACTGGCCACACCGTGGTACTGATTCACAATGGTACAACAGTACCTTGACTTTTATAGATTTATGGAGTCATTTTGTAATCTCAAGCCAAGCAGCACTGCCTAATATCTTCACAAGTGTTGACGCAAGAAGAAATAAAAATAACAACGTGCGGCTGATGCAATCACCTCGTCACACCACCAACCCTTTTCAAAGTTAGTCCTGTTTCATGAAAGGTTCCTGCTAAGCTCTTATATTAGACTTAGTAGTTCCTATGTGCTGAGGGACCTTCTGCCAATGGAAAACTGATAACTTGAAGAATATTGTTGTTCACATCGAACTCTTTTCAGAAGTCACTTTCCAGCATGTTGGAAAAGATGAATTTTTTAGATTTGTTAATTCTAAGAGAATCAAAACGTGTCCAATTTTTCCTGAATCACTCTGAGAGACGTTTCTTGAACTTTGATGGTGTTGCAGTTTTACAGCATTTTGAATGTGTGAGGTGAAAGAGGTGTCATGATTGTAAGTAACTCAAAGGTTTCTCATGTTCTTAATCTATCAGTTAACCCTCTCAGGCTTAAAATAGGTTTTGATAAAAGGATGAACAACTAAGTCCTTCAGGGGAACTTCTGAGTTAAAAATGCTCATGAAATACGTGTGTGGAGTAACCAGGTAAGTTTTAACGTTGCAAATCTGCAACACCTGCCTCCAGAGGGTTAAGTGTGACTAGAATTAAAGTTAAAGCCCATTAGTTGTCACACACTGGTGTGTGAAAATTGTTCTCTGCATTTAACCCATGCCCTAACCCCTGGGGGAGCCGCTCTCGGGAACTATTTGGTGGTTTACCCTCCACAATCAAACCCCTTAATGCAGGGTGTCAAGCAGGGGGCAGGAGGCAAAGGGTCCCATATTTAAATGTGTTTGGTATGACCCGACTATGGACCCACGGTCTCCCAGTCTCAGGGCTGACACCCATACCACTAGGCCACTAAGCTGGTTAGTGTTCTCTGCTCTGTCAAAAGCACAAACGTAGACCCAAGTCTATTATCTCAAACCATGATGTAACTCCTTCCAGTTCTGTTTCCATTTTGGGATTATCTCCTAATCCTGACCTAAACTCTTCAAACAGATCTTTACTCTAAAGAAAAAGCCGGTGGTTCTGTGTAAGCCCTAGCTGTTATTAGCTCAGTGAGTTCAATGGGACAAAAGCTACCTAATCATGTTGAATCATGCACTTTTAAAGCTGATGTACGTGACGGTACATCATCAACAATAATGGGGGGGGGGATGCAGTGAATTGTGTCTTTAATGCAACTTTGTGAACGAGGTCATAGGTTTTCGGTGCTGAGTTACAGAAACACGTCTCATCCAGATGATGGCAGCCTTTACAACAGTTGTCAGATTTACTCCTCAGTCAGAAGAGGAGGGCTTCATGGTTTATAGCTACTGTCTTCTTAAGGCAATTTAAGAAATAATGTTAAAAACAAGGCTAAGTAGCATTTATGTTGCTGCCCCCTGTTGTACTGGCACATACATTTTATTAAATAATATTGGGACTTTCTTCAACTTTCTGGTTTGGGTATTTATTTATTTTTTTTATTCAGTTCAAGTTTATTTATAAAGCGCCGAGTCACGACGAGAGTCGACTCAAATACCTTCACACAGTAAACATTCCAATACAGGTCAGGTCGTTAAGCCAATCAGTAAAATGTTTCCTATATAAGGAACCCAGCAGGTTGCATCGAGTCACTGACTAGTGTCAGTGACTTTACAGCAATCCTCATACTAAGCAAGCATGCAGTGACAGTGGAGAGGAAAACTCCCTTTTAACAGGAAGAAACCTCCAGAGAATCCTGGCTCAGTATAAGCAGCCATCCTCCACGACTCACTGGGGTTCGAGAAGACAGAGCAGGCGCACGCACGCACGCACACACACACACACACACACACACACACACACACACACACACACACACACACACACACACACACAACATATATACCAAGTAGTGTTTTAATGGCGACATTGTCCATCCATCCATTTCCATTTATCCGGGGTTGGATCCCGGGTGCAGCAGCCTAAGCAGGGAGGATCTATCTTCTCTCTCCCCAGCCACTTGGACCAGCTCCTCTGGGGGAGTCCTAAGGCGTTCCCTGACCAGCCATGAGACATAGTCTCTCCAGCATTTCCTGGGTCTTCCTTTAGGTCTTCTCCCAGTTGGACGTGCCTGGAAAACCTCACCAGGGAGGTGTCCAGGAGGCATCCTGGCCAGATGCCCGAGCCACCTCAACTGGCTCCTCTCAATGTGGAGGAGCAGCAGGTCCCTCCCAGATGACAGAGCTTCTCACCCTATCTATCCCGATCAGTGGACTCAGTGGTCTTCTTCAAAAAGAAGCTGAAAACTCACCTGTTCAAGCTGGCTTTCACGTGACCTTCATCACCACCCTCTCCTTATTCTGTTCTTATTCTGCCTTTCCTGGGATCCACTGATTTCCCTCTTTCCTATTCATTTTCTCTCTCCCTTTTCTTTTCTTTTCTTTTCTCCTTTTAAACATATTTTAATCATTGTTAAAATCTTTTTATACTTTATTTTTTGTTTTTGTTTTTGTTTTTGTGAAGCACCTCGTGATTTTTATCTTGAGAGACCATGGTCTTAGAGAAGCTGATTCTCATCCCAGCTGCTTCACTCGGCTGTGAACTGCTCCAATGAGAGCCGGAGATCACGCTACGTTGTGATTTCTTAGTAAATATTCTATTTAGTAAGAGATAAACTTTATTGTCTTTGAGTGGATTTACAGTTAATTAAACTGATAAACTAGTAGTAGCACATTCAACGTCAAGGAAAGTAAAGTGTTATTATCAGGAGAGGGAGAATGTTTAAGTGGTTAGCAGCAGTGTGCTAGCCGATGGCCCCCTCTATGAGGCCACCACAGCTCAGCAGAACATCGTTGTAGCTTCTTCTGGGGAGAAAAATACTTAGAGATAAAATAAACAACTGAAATGGCAGGAAATATTACAGTTAAAGAGCAGATTGTAGAAGAAAGTAGTCGAGTGTGGAAAGTGGTCAGTGCATCCTCCAGCAGTCTAAGCCTATAGCAGCATAACTACAGAGATAACTCTGGATAACATAGCCTTTTTAGATGGAGGCATGTTGGAGGCAGGGCAAGGGAGAGCCGTCTTTACCGACTGTACACTCCACCTCCCTCTACTCCCCCACTTGTCCCGCCTTTTTTTAAGCGTGGTGGTGTACCTACCAATGGAAGAACTTCTGTTTAGAAATGTACACCGACATCAATCTAAAATATTCAGTTTTAACTCACGTTTAAAACAATAATTTTACTCTATGCGTTGTGCGTTCTTGCTGTGTGTTACAATGCTCATCAATAGTTTGTTGTGATAAATCCACTGACATGTTTCCTCTTTTATATTTTTTATTTCTTCTAGACCCACTCTGAAGCCGAACAGCCACTCCATGAAGACACCAACAAAGGAGATGTAGAGGAGACCTTGGGAGGAGTGTTAGAATGGCTCAACGGACGCTTAGCGGCTGTGCTCAGAAACAGCCTTCATGTTTACCTGCTCCTCTGCAGCTCCACGGCATCTTTTAACGATGTCTCATTCAGTCCACTTGAATAACTCTTATGCCATTCTGAAAAAGGTCCTCCTTTGTGATTTTAAGTTTGGTCTGTCAACGTTCCCCTGCCTCTGACCTTTCTGTTGTCATGCGGTTGGACCAATGAGGCTCCGAGAGCCTTCAGTTACGTGTCTGTGAGGTCTCCTCCCCACTCTATGGAGGCTGAGCCCAGCCATCCGGCTAATGGGGAGCGCTCTGGAAGGCAAGAGCTGCAGCATGTAACAGCTGAATCTTCATTAGGATCTTGTCCACCTCAGCAGCCCCAGCAGCCTCCCAATCCTCGTCCTGTTCACAGAGCTCTGGGTCGCTTACAGAACCACCAGCCCAAACGTACCGACCTGCTTCGATTACAGCAGCAGCAAGCAGCAGCATGGCTGCATTCAGACACCCCAGGACCCTCAGGAGGCAGTTTTTTCTCCATGAGTTCTTCGGCATCTCCATCCCACCCCTCTACTTCCTCCACCCAGGGTGATCATGGTCATGGAGTACCATCTCATTCCAGTCAAGAGGGTCTAGAAGGTCTCAGCTCACCCAGAAAAGGAGAGAAGAAACCACAAAAACCAGGGAAGTATGTGTGCTCTTATTGTGGTCGTCCATGTGCCAAGCCAAGTGTTCTTGAGAAACACATTCGCTCTCACACAGGAGAACGACCCTACCCTTGTGGTCCTTGTGGCTTTTCTTTCAAGACCAAGAGCAACCTTTACAAGCACCGCAAATCCCATGCCCACCGCATTAAAGAAGGTATGGCATCCAGTCACGATGAGCCAAGTTTGAGTGGACCGGAGGGTAGTAGTGTTGGAGAAGACCACGAAGAGCACACAGAGGGAGAAAGTACGGAGTCTGAAGAAGAGACAGGACAGCACAGAAAGTCCTCAGCTAAGGTGATGCTTCGACAGCAGAAGAAGGGAGGTAAGGAGCGGCTGGGAGGCTCAGAGAAGAGCCAGAGGCCTGAAGATTCTCAGGCTGTCAAGCAAAGACTGGCACTGAGGCTTAGTGAAAGGAAACGTGGCCCATTGGCATCCCCAGATGACCCTCCTTCCTCCCTTTCCACCTCCTCCTCTTCCCTTGGCCCTGGTAGCAAGGGCAGCACAGAGTCGGGCTATTTCTCTGGCTCGGGCAGCACTGACCTATCCCAAGTCAGTCCGCCCAGTTCGAGCGCCAAAACATATGCAGAAATTATTCTAGGGAAGTACGGAAGGCTGGGAGGGCAGCAGCGCAGTCCCCACCAGCAGCAGCTTCATTCGTCACATTCCTCGTCTTTGGGACCTGAAGAGAAAAGCGTCCCCTTTGCTGTGCCCAAAACACAAGTCATAGAACACATCACCAAGCTCATCACGATCAATGAAGCAGTGGTAGACACAAGTGAGATTGACAGTGTCAAGCCTCGACGTTCCTCCCTCTCTAGGAAGAGCAGTATGGAGTCACCCAAATTCATCGCCCCTAAAGACCCTTACACGTTTGATCCTAAAACAGAAGCAGCAGGTCCCAGTGGTTTGAGACACCTTCAGAACCCTGAAGCAGATCCACCAGGTATGCAGGAGCTGTCAACAATGCCTCTTCACAGAAGCCGCTCATTGCCATCATCCACCAGCCAAGACGAAACTTTCAACTCAATTGCTATGTCTCAAAGAGGTTACCTCAGCCAGTCATTTGATGAGCAGCAAGCAGTGGTAGCAGAGATGAGGGGTGCTCACCGTATGCTCAGACGCCAGCCTGCCATAGAGGTTCCCCTTGGAGCCGAGTTAATGCTGGAGGAGGCGAGTCCAGCATCCTTGTCTCCCTCAGCCAGAGTCACCGAATCAACCGAGCAGCAGCACCAGAAGAGTCCAAACCTGTTTGAATGTGGAGTATGCGGGGCCTGTTTTCAGCACGGTGAAGCCTATGAGGTTCACAAAGGTATCTGCCCCGGACAGGAACAGGAAGGCGTGGATGTGAGCAAAACCAGCAGAGACAGTCGTCCACTGCTGATGCACTCCAGGTTCCAAGCACTTGCTATGGCTGTGAGGAAGAGGAGGAAAGAGGAAAGTCTGGAGGAAGATCCTCCCAGCCCTGGAATCATACCCAGCTCTTCAAACATCAGACCGGAGCACAGCCAAGCCCCCTCAGGTTTGTTTTATATCGTTACAGTAGCAGATACATTCATTGTTTTGTTTTGTGAAACAAACGTTTTTCCTCTAAGAGCGCATCTGAAAGAGATAGCGTGTAGTCTTTACCACTAATCTGGAAACATCCATCAAAACGTCGAAAATGAAATAAATGATGCCCAGTTGTTGAAAAATATTGGCAGCTTTGTAACATATAACCACAAAATACACGGGAGCGGGTCTAAGTCTCTGGGCGACGCCGTGCTTCCTTCTACGGAAGCCCGTGAGGACAAAATGCATTTACTGATTTGTGTAACAAACAGTTACAGGGCGTCTGGTGGGCTTGCCATTTTTCCGGAGGTTGCGCTCCCAGGGATTTTTGATCCTTTGCCATCAGACATTCGTATGTACTGCCCCCTATAGCCAGGGAAAATACACACCGTTAACTTTAAACAAGAAAACACACAGATAACCAGTTCCAACATAGATACATAATGGTATGAAATAACATTTTCACAAGTTACATTTATGAGCTAAAAAAGTACATTATAAACGCCTGGAGCGCTGAAGTATGGTGGAACTTATGTGGGTTTTCTGTTTGTTTGTCTCTAGGTGTTACTTTTCAGACTGAGCCAAAGAAGCAGCAGCAGGACAGGAAGGGCGTGTCTGTCATCCAGCACACTAGCTCTTTTGAGAAACAGGAGACTACATCTATGGAAAGCAAGGCACCAGACCTCAGAGACAGTCGACAAACACAACCTGAGCCCAAACCGTCACCCTCCACATCACGCCTCATCCGCCAGCCAAACATCCAAGTGCCGGAGATCTTTGTTACCGAAGAACTTGATGCTGACATGCCATCAGTGTCGCCCCCAGTAAGAGCGTCCTCAGCCAAGGTATTTTCAACTTAGTGTAGCTTTCTCTTTCCTCTCTTTGTGTTCAAGAGTCAAAGTTGTGATATATTTCTGTTATAGGGGCCAGAAAAAGTCGAAGAGTTCCAGTGGCCTCAGCGTAGCCAAACTCTGGCCCAACTACCTGCAGAGAAGCTGCCACCAAAGAAGAAAAGACTTCGCCTGGCAGAAGCTTCCCAGTCCTCTGGAGAGTCCAGCTTTGAGTCTCTGTCGATGCCGCGTAGCCCAAGCCAAGAAAGCAACATTTCTACTTCGTTTGAGGACACGGTGCGATCAGAACCAGCTGTGTGGGCATCAGGCAGCCAGAGCTCCCAGATGTTGATGGTGCCATCTGCTTCTCACCACCACCAACAAAGCCACAAGGAGATGAGGCGTTCAGCCTCTGAGCAGACTCCAGCCAGCCCACAGCAGACAGAACAGATCGCAGAGACCAGAAGTAAATCCTTTGACTACGGGTCGCTGTCGTCGCAGCAGCAAACATCCTCCTGGAAAGAAAGGAGAAAGTTTCTTCTCGTAAAGCAGGCCACTTTAGGTGAACCAGAGCAGGAGATTGGAGCAACCATTAGTCAGTTGTCCAGAACTACTGAAAGTCCAGAGCCAGGTCCTTCACACTCTAGCCATCCCCTCTACCCAGCTGAAGTAAGCTCCCAGTTCTACCCCGAAACCTCAGGGAAGGCACTGCAGCTTTTACAGCCACAGATCTTCCCACCCTGTCAGGATGTGCAGCCCAGAGGCCATCATGCCTTCCCAAGAGGAACACTTTCACAGCTCCTTCCTGTCACAACAGCCATATCCGAAGTACTGTCCACCCAGCTCATTCCCGGAGCCTTCCTACAGTCCCACACAGGATCTCCGCCTATACACTCAGCTCAGATCCGCATGCCAGAACGGTTGAGAATCCCCCTACATCAGCTCCCGCCTCTAGTTCCTCTCCCAGTCTCCAAGGCTAGAGTAAACCAGGCCCTGTACTTTCCTGTTACTTCACGATTTTCTACAGACGTTCCACCCCAATCCTCTTCAGGGGCAAGACCACCTGGTTCTTCCCTGTCCTCTGCACTTTCACAGCAATCCCTTGTGACCGTTTCCTACCACCACCAACAGCCAGTCATTACCACGTGCCTGGCACAGCTTACACCGGTGGTATCGCTTGTGGTGCCGGTGCGCCTCCAGACTCATAGACCTACCTTTGCCAGTGCCATGTATACAACCCTGTCCCAGATTCTGGCGTCCACCCGCTCACAGGAACCAACGTCTTGCACAACTATGATCATCGTGAGCCAAATAGAACGAGACCAGCTGCAAGAAACTTACTTGAAGGTTCCTTCAGCAGACATTCGGAGCCTTCTTCCCCTGTCTCTGCCAAAGGAGCTAGCCTCCGGTTCAGAGGAGGCATACGGCCCATTGGGACCTGGAGGTAGCAAACGTATGCTGTCTCCTGCAGCCAGCCTGGAGCTCAGTACTGAGGCTCAGCGCCACCAGAAAAGAGTCAAAGAGGAGGGGGAGGGGGAGGGGGAGCAATACAAAAGAGGAGAGGAAGAGGCAGAACCAAAGACGAGGCAGGAGGACCGGAGCAAATCTTCGTGGAAGACGCGAGAAGAAAGAGACGAGAAGCATCCAGAAAGGGTAGAAGTGACAGCTGTCAAATTAGAGGAAGAAAAGGACCAAAGCAAAAATAACAGGGACGATAAAGGAGGAGAGAAGAAGTCAGCCGATAGAACAAGTCAACTAAAGGGAAAGGTTCAAACTGAAGGTGAGTGTGTGGAGGGATCAGGTACATCTTCATACCCCAGCCTTCACACTTCCACATCAGTCAACTGGTGCTATCTAAAGTACGTCAAGCCCAACCCATCAGCCCAGAGAGACCCTCATACCTCAGTCTATTCCACATGGAGCATCAGCGCCCACAACCCCAACTTACCAGGCATCAGCACCAAGGTGGCCCTATCGCTGCTGTGCTCTAAACAGAAGCACAGCTCTGAGACGTACACCATGGCCACTGCTCCGTCGCTGGACAGAGGGAAACCGGCAGCTGGACGCAGCCAGGAACTCCGTGTTTCAGAGGTAAACATAAACAGTATTTATGTCATTTAACAAACACACCACTGTTGAGTCAGTGAACGACACAATATTTGTTGAATTATAACGTTAGAACCAAACTCAGCAATTCATATTAAGTTGTTGTGAATTTGTCTTGAGTGTAGGTATGTTCCACCCCACCAAGCACCGTGACTGAAGTAAAGGATGAGGAGAAGCACAAGAAGGAGGAATATAAAGAAACAAGAGAGGAAGAGGTTCCTTCCACCTCCAAACAAGGCGAGCCTTCTCGGGTCCGCATCTTCGAAGGAGGGTAAGAGCTGCAAGGCTGACATGCCTTCTTTTTTGTTGATATGGATTTTTTAAATTATGGCTGCGCCTCATTACACAATTGCTTCTACACAAGGTGACAAAAACAACAACCGCGGAGAGCTGACAAGAGAGCATTGAGAGTTAGAGGAGCAGATGGGAGGTAGTAGGGCCCGGAGGGACTTCATTTGTACTCGAAGCCAAGTTTTTATCCTCACTGCTGCCATGAATGTGTGTGTGTGTGTGTGTGTGTGTGTGTGTGTGTGTGTGTGTGTGTGTGTGTGTGTGTGTGTTTTTATGAAGCCAAATTAGTATTTTTATTCAAACTAAACTGAAAACAGATCTAAATCCAGTTTTTGATTTCAAAGCCTTTCTAATTTAGGACACTGAATGGAAAACAAGAGTGTTTCATGAACTGATGGACGAATCATGAAGCCTAGAAGTCTAAATGGACCGGAGCTGAAGCAAAATGATTTTGCTCTGCATGTCGGTCCAGTCACGATCCCTAGGAGCCTCAGCAGGCCTACCATTGGCCTGAGCAGTATTGTGTTTAACCAATCACAGCGCTCTATTGGTTTGTTGGGTGGGATGATGCGATGGAGCGGAACAACAAAAATGAAATGGCTTTGGCAACAACTTTGGACTGTTTAGACTTTTCTTTGTGTCAAGAGCAGATAGAGCTACTATCTTTATTTAGAAAAAGGATGCATCTGCTTCCTCTTGGACTGTGTTTTTGTTTTCCTCCATCACAGATCTAGTGCTAAGCCGGCCCAACAAACAGAACATTGTGATTGCCAAGACACAAAACTCTTCAGCTACCTGCTGAGGCCACAATGGACTGTGGCTAGATGAACTTGTAGTCGGTCTTCACTTCGAGGCTACAAACATGTTTTAGGTGTGGTTGTCATTATTCAAAAACAAACATAAAACTAAAGCCCAAAAAATGTCCACAAATGCGTTAGAATATCATGACAGAGTAGATTTATTTAAGTAATTCCATTGTGTTCACACACAAGCTGATATTTCACATATTTACTTCATTTTGATGATTTTAACCGACAACTAATAAAATCCCAAATTCAGTGTCTCAAAAAATTAGACTATTTTAAATTAGACCAAACCAAAACACATCATTTCAGAAATGTTGGTCCACTGAAAAGTATAAAGATTAAAATAATGAACATGTAAAGCACTCAGTATTTAGTTGGGGCTCCTTTGGCCTGATTCCTGCAGCAACGCGGCGTGGCGTCCATCAGTCTGGGTAAACCACCAAATGGTTCCCGAGCACGGCTGTGTCTGCAGAGTGCGGAGAACAAATGTCACACACACTACAGGTCCTTCTCAGAAAATTAGCGTATTGTGATGAAGTTCATTATTGTCTGTAATGTACTGATAAACATATTAGATTCATTACACACAACTGAAGTAGTTCAAGCCTTTCATTGTTTCCAATATTGATGATTTTGGCGTACAGCTCATGAAAACCCAAAATTCCTATCTAAAAAAATTTGCATATTTCATCCAACCAATAAAAGAAAAGTGTTTTTAATACAAAAAAAGTCGACCTTCAAATAATTATGTTCAGTTATGCACTCAATACTTGGTCGGGAGTCCTTTTGCAGAAATGACTGCTTCAATGCGGCGTGGCATGGAGGCAATCAGCCTGTGGCACTGCTGAGGTGTTATGGAGGCCCAGGATGCTTCAATAGCGGCTTTAAGCTCATCCAGAGTGTTGGGTCTTGCGTCTCTCAACTTTCTCTTCACAATATCCCACAGATTCTCTACGGGGTTCAGGTCAGGAGAGCTGGCAGGCCAATTGAGCACAGTAATACCATGGTCAGTAAACCATTTAGCAGTGGTTTTGGCACTGTGAGCAGGTTCCAGGTCGTGCTGAAAAATGAAATCTTCATCTCCATAAAGCTTTTCAGCAAATGGAAGCATGAAGTGCTCCAAAATCTCCTGATAGCTAGCTGCATTGACCCTGCCCTTGATAAAACACAGTGGACCAACACCAGAAGCTGACATGGCGCCCCAGACCATCACTGACTGTGGGTACTTGACACTGGACTTCAGGCATTTTGGCATTTCCCTCTGCCCAGTCTTCCTCCAGACTCTGGCACCTTGATTTCTGAATGACATGTAAAATTAGCTTTCATCCGAAAAAAGTACTTTGGACCACTGAGCAACAGTCCAGTGCTGCTTCTCTGTAGCCCAGGTCAGGCGCTTCTGCCGCTGTTTCTGGTTCAAAGGTGGCTTGACCTGGGGAATGCGGCACCTGTAGCCCATTTCCTGCACACGCCTGTACACGGTGGCTCTGGATGTTTCTACTCCAGACTCAGTCCACTGCTTCCGCAGGTCCCCCAAGGTCTGGAATCGGTCCTTCTCCACAGTCTTCCTCAGGGCTTGGTCACCTCTTCTCATTGTGCAGCGTTTTCTGCCACTTTTTCCTTCCCACAGACTTCCCACTGAGGTGCCTTGATACAGCACTCTGGGAACAGCCTATTCGTTCAGAAATGTCTTTCTGTGTCTTACCCTCTTGCTTGAGGGTGTCAATGATGGCCTTCTGGACAGCAGTCAGGTCGGCAGTCTTACCCATGATTGTGGTTTTTAGTAATGAACCAGGCTGGGAGTTTTTAAACGCCTCAGGAATCTTTTGCAGGTGTTTAGAGTTAATTAGTTGATTCAGATGATTAGGTTAATAGCTCGTTTAGAGAACCTTGTCATGAAATGCTAATTTTTCGAGATAGGAATTTTGGGTTTTCATGAGCTGTATGCCAAAATCATCAATATTAGAAACAATAAAATGCTTGAACTACTTCAGTTGTGTGTAATGAATCTAATATATATGAATATAATAATATAATATAATGCTTATCAGTACATTACAGACAATAATAAACTTCATCACAATATGCTAAAAAAAACTAGTTTTCTTGTCCGGGGATTGGACCGCCAAGGCTCCCGCCTTGGTCTGCCACCCGATTCGCATTGCACCGGACCCTTCATGTTCCTCCTGCGGGTGGTGGGTCCACAGTTGGACGAGCCCATGTATCCGGTTCGGGCTGGGCCCGGCCGGGCCCCATGGGCGAAAGCCCGGCCACCAGGCGCTCGCTCACGGGCCCCAACCCCAGGCCTGGCTCCAGGGTGGGACCCCGGTAACCCTCCGGGCCGGGTACTCCGACTCTTCGTTTTAACCGCCATGAAAGATCCTTCGAACCGTTCTTTGTCTCACCCTTCACCTAAGACCAATTTGTCATGGGAGACCCTACCAGGGGCACTAAGTGCCCCAGACAACATAGCTCCTAGGATCATTAGGGCACTCAAACTCCTCCACCACGATAAGGTGACGGTTCAAGGAGGATAGCCAAGCGGGGTGCAGCAGTGGCAGTTGCCGAGGCAAAATCTCGGGCGTGGGAGGAGTTTGGTGAGGCCATGGAGAAAGACTATCGATCGGCTCCAAAGAGGTTCTGGCAAACTGTCCGGCGCCTCAGGAGAGGAAGGCAGCAACTCGCTCACACTGTTTACAGTGGGGATGGGGAGCTGCTGACGTCAACTGAGGCTATAGTCGGACGGTGGAAGGAATACTTTGAGGAGCTCCTCAATCCCACCAATGCGCATTCCGAGGAGGAACCAGAGCTGGGAGGCCTGGGGATGGACTGTCCGATCTCGGGGGCAGAAGTTGCTGAGGTAGTCAAACAACTACACAGCGGCGGAGCCCCGGGGGCGGATGAGGTTCGTCCTGGGTATCTCAAGGCTATGGATGTTGTAGGGCTGTCATGGTTGACACGTCTCTACAACATTGCGTGGTCATCGGGGGCAGTTCCTAGGGAGTGGCAGACCGGGGTGGTGGTCCCCATCTTTAAGAAGGGTGACCTGAGGGTGTGTTCCAACTATAGGGGGATCACACTCCTCAGCCTCCCTGGAAAGGTCTACGCCAAGGTACTGGAGAGGAGGGTCCAATCGATAGTTGAATCTCAGATAGAGGAGGAGCAATGTGGTTTTCGTCCTGGCCGTGGAACTGTGGACCAGCTCTATACCCTTGCAAGGGTGATGGAGGGGGCATGGGAGTTTGCCCAACCAATCCACATGTGCTTTGTGGATTTGGAGAAGGCTTATGACCGTGTCCCCAGGGGCACCCTGTGGGGGACGCTCCAGGAGTATGGGGTGGGTGGCTTTCTGTTAAGGGCCATTCAGTCCCTTTACCAGAGGAGCGTGAGTTTGGTCCGCATAGCCGGTAGTAAGTCGGACCTGTTCCCAGTGAGGGTTGGACTCCGCCAGGGCTGCCCTTTGTCACCGGTTCTGTTCATCACTTTTATGGACAGAATTTCTAGACGCAGCCGTGGTGTGGAGTGTGTCGAGTTTGGTGGCAGGAGAATCTCGTCTCTGCTTTTTGCGGATGATGTGGTCCTCCTAGCTTCATCCAGCTCTGACCTTCAGCTCTTGCTGGGTAGGTTCGCGGCCGAATGTGAAGCGGCTGGGATGAGGATCAGCACCTCCAAATCTGAGACCATGGTTCTCGACCGGAAAAGGGTGGCTTGCCACCTCCGGGTCGGAGGAGAGGTCCTACCTCAAGTGGAGGAGTTTAAGTATCTCGGGGTCTTGTTCACGAGTGAGGGTAGGAGGGATCGGGAGATCGACAGGCGGATTGGTTCGGCGTCTGCAGTGATGCGGACGCTGAGCCGATCTGTCGTGGGGAAGAGGGAGCTGAGCCAGAAAGCCAGGCTCTCGATTTACCGGTCGATCTACGTCCCAATCCTCACCTATGGTCATGAGCTTTGGGTAATGACCGAAAGAACGAGATCGCGGATACAAGCGGCCGAAATGAGTTTCCTCCGTAGGGTGGCCGGGCTCAGCCTTAGAGATAGGGTGAGGAGCTCGGACATTCGGGAGGGACTCGGAGTAGAACCGCTGCTCCTCCGGATCGAAAGGAGCCAGTTGAGGTGGTTTGGGCATCTGGTCAGGATGCCTCCTGGACGCCTCCCCGGGGAGGTGTTTCGGGCATGT